ATGCGCGTTGGTGGGTCTTGTATGCTTCAGTTTCTTCTAGCTTGTGTCGCTTCTTAACGTCCTCCGTGAGGGTCGAAGCACCCGTCAACAGGTAGGCCAGGCGATTCCTCGTCGTGTGGTGAAGCCGGAGGGTTCGCTTGATGAATGTGGCCTTCGTTTTGTCAAGAGCTGTCATATCGTTGGCCGTGAGGAATGGCCAGACTAGTTCAATTCCGAACTCGGCTACTGGTGCGATCTTGATGTCGAACAGGCGGAGTGCCGTGTTGACCGTTAGCATGTGAGGGGATTCTATAGATCGCATGGCCAGGGTCGCTCGGTTGCATCGGTCTTTCACGTGCCCCGTGAACGAGGATCCGCAGTGATGAATCGTGACCCCGAGGTATTTGAAGCTATTCACGAATTTAAGTCTGTTGCCTCCTATCGTTAGAACATCCTTCACTGATATTCCTCCTCCTTTTCGACAGTTCATTGCCTCCGTCTTTTCTGTGTTGACCGCTAGTCCAAGCGTCTTCGACATTGTGTTCAGTCTGCCTAGAGCTTCTTGGACGAGTAGGCGTTCCGGACTGTATACGACTACGTCGTCCGCGTACAACAGAATTTTGATCCGGCTGTTCCCTCGATGGACTTCGGCGGGGAGGTCTTTCAGAAGAACTGAAAGCAACAATGGGCTCAATGCGTCCCCTTGTGCGAGGCCAGTAGTTTGTTCAAAGGAGGGGTGTTCCACGATTCCATCCTCTAGAGCTATGGAGTTGGCTTGGAGGATCGATGTCAGTAAGGCGAGAATCTTGTTCGGAACTCCCGCCTTTGTCAACAGCTCCACAACAAGGCTCGCGATGGCACTCGCGACGTAGCTCACATCAGAAGTAACGTCGCGGCGAGTTGCGGGATCCCAGTTGATTTCCTACGGAGTATGAACTCCGTCACGTGGAACGTTCGCTGAACGCAGTCCAGACCGCCTTCCCTGAGCACCATCAACCAGCTCTGCCATGTGGGCTCGTGGGAACCGGTGCACGCGAGGATCCTCTTCTCGATACCGATGCTCATGGCTCGGTGGAGTCTGTTCGCCGAAAGCGGGAACTTGAGCCGGGAGCGAAGGTACGCGATTTCTTCGAAGTTCTGGAAATGTCGGAAAATCCAAGCGTGATCGTCCGGCGACTCTTCCACATGAGGATACGGACGAAGGAAGTGGTTCGCTTGCACAATGATGCAGAACTGCACCACAAGCTCAGTGAAATCACTTCCCGAAACCGCGCTTTCCAGCTCCTCAACCTCCCGTAGCGTCGAGAAGAGGCGGCACTTGACCTCGGAGTTCACGTAGCTCACGACCTGGAGGAACTCTGGAATGGCGATGGCTCCACGGAAGTGTTCTAGTTTCCCGTTGTTCAACACTTGCCCTCCCAGGTACGCGCTCAACTGCCGGTTGAGGAGTACGATGATTCGCGCTTCGGGGGACCTTTGGCTGAATGTACGTCGATGTCCCATCGTTGACCTGGAAAAATCGAGGATAGTCTTCAGATCATGTGGATTGAGGAGTCTCCGTTTCGCAGACGAGGGGAAAGAGTGCAGACGGCTTCTGGCTAGAGGAGAGGAAAACTTAGGACCCCGAGCCGTTATGGTCGCTTGGATTTTCCCTCTCCTATCGAATACTGGAGCTTCCGTATCCTCGGGTTGTCGCATTCCAGTGGATGCATGCGGACAAACTCACACTCGACGTGTATGATGAGCCAAGCGAGAGAGATGGACTCGTACAGCACAATTGCTAGCTAAAAACGTCAACCTGGTCTTGACTGTCCTCGAGTCAGAATATGGCTGGAAGCTAGTCAACCGGATTGAAGACTGAGGTCGCAAGAGTAGTCAGATTCGAACGAGGACTTCTTTGTGGAGAGTTTCATATCTTACAACGGCTGGAGAAGGAGAGTGAGGAAGCCCTCCGCGCTCTCGAGGGGATGACGGTCGCAAGCCAAGTATCTCGTAATTCGCGTTTCTCTTGAGCCAGAGCCGAGACGCCTTGTCAGCTGGGGTAGGCTCGAGCCTTCCAGAGCGGCAATCTGCACCCTCCGAGCCATGTTGAGAGGAGAGGAAGAGCACGAGCCCCTGCGGACATTCAACTACCCGATTCAGTGGTTCAGCCGTCCAGAGACTCTCTAAGAGATTGAACTCTAGCTTCTCAGATTCTTTCCCTGTCGAATCGAAACGCTGTGTCTGTCCGTCTGTGCGCCATTCTCCGATGTTTCCTCCCCGCCGATGGAGCCGCTTGAGGCAGGAATGCCTCGCTTGCGTGTTGGAGACCAATGAGATTATCGCTCCATCGCACTCAGGATTAGAAGCTACATCATCTGCAGGCAGGATCTTCGAGAATGGGACCATCAAATGTCGCTGAGTGAAAGGTCTACTCTCGTGGAGAATCCAGGAATATGGCGCTGAGGATATCTCCTTCCGTTGGTCAGCTATGCTCTTCCTCGAGCAGACCTTGGCATCGCCTTCTCCCTTCGGAAGCCAGCATTGCTCTCTGCTAATCCGAATTATTCCCGAAATAGAACAAGGAAGAGGTGGACAATTCGCTGTGCCAGGAACTCTGAGGAGGGTTACCGATACTTCGATTTGATGGCAAAATCTTAAGTCGGGGAAGATAGCTCGAAGGTGGGTTCCTCTTGTAGCAAACGTGTGTACATACTTCAAAGCCCCCTGAGCCGTTTGTCATTCTCTTCGCCTGCTGTCGGAGCCCTGTCACTTCCTCCGTCGTCCGTTTCCGAACTCCATGCTGACCAATTGTTTTGGATTTCTGCCGATCGACAAATATGTTTATTTCGATCGGTAGACTCTCTGAGCTACGAGAATCCACCCAGAAAATTCGGAATGGCTTCGCGGAACGGTAGGTCCTAGCCGAGAACTGCATGTGAAAACTTCCAGGCTTACTGGCACTTCCTCTCGAGCAGTGAGCCAAGTGTTTTTTTCACGAGGTGCACTGTAGCCTGGATATGCGGGACAACGCCGCGTCGACAGATCGTCGGCACACAGAGAACTAAACGCAGCGTATTTTCTCATGAGATGGAGGCCCACGGCTAGACCCCCGAAATTCGCCAAGAACGCTTCCTCGCGGTTCTGAACATGGAGCGCTTCGGACTGAGAGCCGGAGTCACTTGCAGCAGGAATCGGTACGGAAGCGCGGGGGGTCTTCACCTAACTCGACCGCATCGGAGTTCTCATGAGTTGATTCAAGGGATCGTAGGTGCGGTGAACGCGCCAGCGGGTCGAGGAAACCAGCCATCGAGGCGAGAGCAAGAACATCGAATCCTGGTTTACGCTCGAGAGACTGCATCGAGTACTCTGCGATTTGTTTCTTCAGAAAGCAAGAAACTATGTCGATTCTCGCAATATCTATCCCGGAAAGTGCGAGGTATTTTTCTGCGCGGTCCGCAGCGATGTCTGCGAGCAATGCAAGAAGACTCATGTGAGCCGCGCTGCGACGAGGCGAGAGAATAGGATTTCTGACATCGAGGGATCGGAAGAAGAGCAGGAACTGCACATTTTCCATGCACAGCATCCTGACGGTGCACTCGCCTCCTACGAAGAGCCGCCGGATCCGAACATTCTAGCTATGTGCATGGACTTCGAGAGAGAAATGAATGTGAACGGACATCGGAAAGCAGCACTGGAAGTTCCAAGTTTTGTAATGCAGGGCAGAACTCCGACGCGCTACACGAGCTCAAAGTTTTCGCCGCAAACTCGCAAGAGAGCGGATAGGATGCCCGCGAGCTCATGCAATCGCGTAGCTCGAGGGGGAACGCGGCTTCGCGAGAAATCAACCTACTCAAATATTTGACTCGGGCCGAACAGAGCGATATTTCACATTGGAACATGCTGCGGAGAGCTCGCAATTGAGCCAAAGGGATCATGCTCACCGTGGGACATCAGGATGAGCGTTGTAGCGAATTTCTACTTCGGCGCTCGCATTCACGCTCCGAAGGTATGTCTTCGCTTTGGGGGAACCTCACAAATCAACCACGCGACGTCCGAGATCCCATTAGTGGTGTGGAACTCCGGCTCCTCGTTCTCGACAAACCTTTGCCTAAGCTCTAAGACTGGACCCCGGAACGAGGCAGGTCCAGCCGTCCGAGGCGAGGACGGCAGGTTCGATGACGAGGTCGTCGTCTCATCCAGACGTCCACGCGGTGGAACACTGAGAATTTGCTCCCCTCTCCAGACTGTTTGAGATGGCGCCCCTTGCCCTTGGCTTCGATTCAGAATTCGGCAACTCCCCAATCATTCATGGTCTGAGGACCTTGGGCTGCCATCCGCCTAAATTCGCTGAGGGCTACAGCCGTGAGACAGGGCGTGCTGTCGGATCTGAGTCTCAGAGTGTCTCGTTCATGTTCGGACCGACGAGGTTTTCCGTCGGGTCGATTGAAATTGAATGATCTGATCCCTACGGGCGCTTCAAACGATATTCCCTGTTTTCTGTGGGGTCCGATTGACCTATCCAAGTGCTTTCAATTCTTGGCAGAAGACTATTTCTGCATTTCCTCCAGAAGCAGAAATAACACAAAGGAATATCCTCAACCCACCAAAAATCCGTGATCCGTAAGCGGAAATCGAGCTCCCATCGCACAAAAGACAGAAGTCCTCCCCCGAGCGGGAGCTTTTCCCGTCTGACCAGGAAGGTCTTAGCCGTTAGAATAACGCTCATGCATCTCGTGAGGAGCACATCTCGCGCATTCGGCGAGGATCGGCCCCTCGTATTCCACTAGGTCGGAGAGCTGGAAAGGTTCGCTCCCGCCGCGACGCCTAATGTCGCGAGACCGAGAACGTTCCTCCCCGTGTCACGAAAGTGCTGGGCGAACTCCAAGATGGAGAGCAGACATCAAAATCGAGGAAAAGTAATCGCTAGGCTGATCACTACCGTCGCAGTCTCAGCGAATGATGGAAGTCGGTTCAGATCAGATGTTGATTCCAGTCAGTAGGATCGACCGTCAGTAGCAAGCATCCATTCACCGGATGACGCGAATTCCTGAATTTGACAATTCTACGGTTCTGACGAAGCTACGCACGAAAGACTTTCACGACATATTTCTGCCACCTTCCATCCACAGATGCGCGGCCGTCGCTCTCGATTGACGAGAGACCAAAGTTGACAATCGTAGAGCTTTCGCCGCATCGGGTACTGCTGCCAGGGACCTGACTTCGGTGAGTGACACGAATTCGTCCTCTTGCTCCATCTCGAGACTCGTCGTGCTTAGAGTCTTCGTGGATTTCTGGATACGCGCGTCGAATCATGGGTTTCGGGCTCTGATTCTCAGATAATGAAACCAATTCCATGATTGGGGATGCTCGTTCCGACGGCTCCGTCTTACGGCCCAGCGAGTGACGGAACATACTCTGCAGATACCGAACTCCACGCGCGATTGTCCTGTGAGTTGCGGATGAGAAGGAAGCGGAAATTTCAGCGTCTCCCGAAGCCGATCGAGCTCCATTTTGGAACTACATAAAGCAATCGAGGTATATGCGAACTGGTTTCTGGCAGTCGGACGATCGGCTGATCACAGTTGGTATCCACCCGCGAAGCCTCTCCAAAGCCGGACATTATTTATCTCGCTTACGGTATCTGCTCAATGCTCGGGACAGAACAGATGAGCCGCGAGTATTTCGTTCACCCTGAACCATCTTTCGAACGGGTGCCCGTGTGAGCCTCGCTCGTCTCGTTTTGGGCTACAGACTAGGGATCATCACCATATCTGAGGGAAGATACTCCGAATTCAGAAAGAGAGAAATGTATCAGGAAGACGATCTTCATCACGAGTGGAGCGAGAACACCCGAGTGCCCACTCCTCATCTTCACTCGAGAATGCCGAGCATGCGGAGAAGAGCAAGAACCGCTCCACAATTCTAGCAGGATTTCCCGCTGGATCGGAACAGAAATGATGAACGACCCACGGATTGGTCACGAACAGGAGGATGAGACGTTTCGTCAGCACTCGCTTCTGCATCCGACTTACTGACTCGGTCCGAGACTTTCCGAGCTGAATCGTGGGCATCACTAGAGGAGGCAGCAGGTTCTCCAAATTCTTGCTCCAGAGTCTGTCTCTACTTCTCGAGCGGAAGTATCCGACTTCGTGAGGTTGGACGCGCGAGGCATTGCAACTCGCCTCTCGCCGGAGCTCCAGCTTGCGGTATTTGACGCTTTCGGACACTGCCCCGGTCTGCTAGACGAGGGGCTCCACGGAAAACTATTTTTTTTTGAAACTCTCCGGATTCTACCCCACTGTGATGGATTGCAGATTTCTCGGGATGTCAACAATCATCAATCATAATCTAAAAAGATCTGTAGCGAAATCGATCATCCCGCGGGGAAGTTGATGGGCTCGAGAACTCTTAGCCGATTCGGAAACACAAAATTCTGGGAATCGGGCATTCGACAAAGGGCGTCGAATGGAGGCCGGATGGCTGAAAACCCAATCCCGTGCGCCGAATGCGCACGGGTTCAGAATGAGGAGCATCGTGGGGATATTCTTGAATTGCAGGCTCTGGCGGGACTTCGTTCCAATCAGTCCGTTCGAGGACATTCCGCTCCCTTTTTCGGTATCGACTCGAAGCTCTATGATGTCTTGTCTATCCTGAGTCCCTCAGCGGGGTCGAAGTCGATCATGAATCAGCGCCCCGAGCATATGCTGCATCATGATTCCTCTCGCTCATTGAGTACCGATTTCTGTTATATCCAGGTCTCGATGTTGCTGCGGATACTCAACTGCTTCTTAGCCTCCTCCCTAGGAGCCTCGGGTCAGATCACGCTGTCCACGCCGCGGACGACCGTTCCTCCGAGCTTATCGCTGTCTGCGCTGACTGCGGTCACCGGTCCTCCCGTGACGCTCCCGAAACCCAAAGCCGAAAATTCTCCTCCTCCGCAGCTTGCACCTATGACTCCCGATGTCACGAGCTCATTCAACTCAACTTTCTTCATCGAGGACTTGTTGCATCAGTTGCGGGAAGAGGTATCGAGCTTACCAGTCGCGAACGCGACATGTTCATTGTGTCTAGTCCCTAGCTCCAGGTGCGAATCACTCCATCGAGCCTACAATTATCGGACCCATTGCAGTTGCAAGCCAACGCAACAATAAACACGATCCTGACCCCATTCGAGATAGAGGCATCCGACGATGGTGAGTGTACCGTCATCACCGATAATAATCGTACCGTTAGTCTCAATCTCGTTTCCCATAAAGCAGAATTTCACGTCGGCTCCCGCAGATGTCGCCGACACCAATCTGAGTGCGACCGTGTTCCGAGGCTACTTCACCGGTTTCGACAGCCCAGTCCGAAAAGACCGCTGTTCCCACAAGGTCGTGGACAACAATGTGACGTTGCAGTGTTTGATAACTTTCCTCAACTTGAAGTCAATAGCGTATGCCACTGTGAAGGTTCGTTTAAAACTTCGTTGCTCTGATCGAGCCTTCCACGGAGGAAATTCAACGGCGGCGTTCACGTCCCTGGATGCCAAGATAATATTGGGCTTTTGCGGGGGATCGTGACATGTTCAACTCCCGCCGCCTTTCCAGGGAGAAGAACGGGCTCTAGTGATCGTGACAACATCCGTTGAAGACGTCATCTTCCTGATGGAATTAGAAGGTCCACTGGATCGTATGATGAGACTGTATCAATTCAAATCAGTGCTCGACCCTACCGTCAAATCACAAATCGTCGAAGGATCCGTTCGAGCGAAATGGTGGGTGGTATCATTGCTATCTCGAGCAGTGGGAGTCTATCTTCCCGTGGTCCGTTCCATCCAGACTTCCTTCGTTGTATCGATACTCAATACTCAAGCTTTCGATGAATGATTCCAGGTTGAATGAATTCAAGTCTCAGGTTGGTCAAAACATTGGTATACAGCTGATGAGAATCCTCTACCGCGATTTCCGGCAGGTCATCAATATCGTTCTCTCCCGAATGAGTCCGCAAAAACCTGAAAAAGCTGGATAGTTGAATAAATATTGTCTCTGAAATAATTTGACCTCCTACTTCGTCAAGAACGATTATTCATATTCCGCTAGCCCGAGGAAGATGATATGAATCATAGTTTCTGGAAGCGTAGACTGCGGTATCGTCTCCTAGTTCGCGCGTTCGACTATATGATGACGAATGACAAAAAGTCGAACATTCTTCTGCAGGAGCGAGAACGTCGCCGATATGCTAGAGAACACCCTCCGGAAGTCGGGAGGAATCGCTCCGTACATATTACAGGATCTATCCGTAAGGGCTTCTTCGACGAATGTGCAAGAGGGGATGAGCCGAAGCTCGTCCCCCTTGCAGTTTGCAGGCTCTTGCGTGTTCGTCACTGTGGAGAATTCTCTTGATCTCATTTTTGTCTCCGGAGAAGATGCTGGACAATTCGGGAAACCTCTGTCTATGATCTCCAGATTTTCGCCGCTGAAGATGAATCTCGACGTCTCGATCCTTGAATTCTTCTGGTCGTCTGGAGTTAGGACCAGCTCAATATCTCACTGTAGCTATAAAACCAACATCAGAATATTACCGCATAGCATAGCGGAAGCGTGAATCGAATCCATCAGTTGGCGTTTCCCAGGTATGTTCCCTCTTCGCCAGAAGATTTATTGCCACGAAAATCGAGCTCTCTGTTTGCTGCTCCATCTGAGCAACGGTGTTCAGATCGACAATGATGAACCGTGGCGCAATCCCGGCATAATCCCGTACACTGGCTGAGAGGAAGGTCCTCCCATGGAACAGATGTTCGAATGGGTCCGGTCGCAGAGGTTTTTTCGGGCTTGCCCAGAAAAGAGTGAACGAGACTCTATTCAGATCTAGTACTTCGATCTATCCGCTCGAATGACTCCGGGTTTTTCCCCTTGTAGCGATCATTCGGCTCGTTTTCACGACCATTGCCGGAATAAATACTCTCCGATACGATCCATCCCTCGGATATCAATCAGCGATTCGGAGTTCCAACGGAAGGCAGCACTGCGAGCGTGCTGACTCCGTTATCCGTCATCATCACATTCATCAAACGCAGAGGACTGCGAAGGATTGACCGTGAAATGCGCCCGTGATGAAGTGACTGTAAAGTGACTGTTTGTTGTGATCAACACGTCGGCTGACGGGACTCTCGATTCCTCGGAATCCGCTCGGTTTTTCCATCTGTTGACTCAGACGAACCGAGTGACCTTCCCATTCTGCCGAGGAGAAAATCGATTTAGAACATCACTTAACAATAAGCTACCGAAACAGATGAGTAACGCAAACGCGGTGGAATCAGCCGAGCTCCCTTCAACAGTCATGGAGAGCATTTGAATGGCCAAGCATCGCCAGCATGCAACTTCATATAAATGGGATGTTCTCGCTCGCCATGGCTTCACATAGCTTTCACCGAACATGACAACGCTAAACATCAGGGGTCTCCTAGCTTAGAAATACAGAGAAACCGCCTATAGCGAGCGTCTGTTGCTTCTGTGATTTCTGTGCCTCATGGATGGTGGAGTGTGAGCCCTATGAAGTGAACTGGTCACGATACACGATGCGAACCATATGCTTGCTTGCACTCTCTGCGATATTCTCGTCGATCTCCGCTCAAGTCCCGGCTCCTGTGGGAAAGGTGATTGTTCAATTCAAGGGTCTCCGCGCCCCTTCCCTGATCCCCCCTCTCGAGGGGGAATCTTCACTAGAATCGTCCCCAACCGGTTTCTCCCGTGATCGCGGACTCGCCCAAATCAATCTAGAATTTTTCCTCCTGATCATCCGATGGTCGGTACGAATCGAATCTCGGTCTGACAATGGAATCTGTCGCTTGTAGGCTCCGGCAACAGTTCTAGCACGACGAGTACTCCCGAACGGAGATATCGAGCTTCTGGTTCCCTTCGAAGAAACCTTTCTGCGGAACGGAGAACGCGTAGCTTACGTGACGTCATATACTTGTGTGAGAACCGTCATTAACGCTGGACGATCACGACAGTACAGAGAAAAGTGAGTCTCATCGGGAGCGCCCATATTGAAGCTTGTCTGGAGGATCGAGGGACTAGATCGTGGCTCTCTTGCCCATGTCGACGTTTAATTTCTCGAATTCCCAATCAATACAGATGTATACCCCGAGTAGTGATCGCGGAGCCCGTCACACAAGTGAGTTGAATCCAGCGAAGTTGCGACCGACTCTCCGTCTCGAAGGACGCGAATATCAGGAATTGCGTTGCCATATCAAGGATTCACGTTTGAGGAAATACTGATACTAAGCATAAAGCTCCTTGAAATGTGTTCCAGGCACCCACGACCCCAACGACGAAACCTCCGCCGACGACGACGGCGCCAACGACCACTACACGGTCTCCTTATCCTTACCCCTATCCGTACCCGTATCCATATCCGACAACAGCTCGTCCGTATCCGTACCCATATCCGTACCCTAACCCTCAACCGAATCCATATCCTTACCCGGACCCGAATGGTCAGAACTGGTACCTGGTGCTGAGGAGACTTGGCTATCCCGACTATATCGTACCGTATCCGAATCCAGGGAAAAAACGCTGAGCCGGATAAAGCAACGCTGACAGTTTCGTCATTGAAAACACCTGCCGGAGTCCCCCGAAGAATCAACACTGCCTTGTATCCCTTCGGTATAGTCGCCATAAATCCGACTCAGGAGTCTCCGTGCTGCTCGACACCCTATGGGTGATCGAGCACTTTGTCCACCGCACGGAGATTTCTCCGGTCTCGACCAGGCACAGAAGTCTCCGTGCTGCTGGATACGTCAGGCTGATCGAGCACTTCGTCCACCGCACAGAGATCTCCCCGGTTCCGATTTTCTTGATGACCAGCGATGCAGTCATCCTTCGGCAGTGTTACGACAGGGGTATCCCGGACACTCGCGCAGCTGACGAGACCGAGAGAGCGACGGCCATCAGAGACGAGAAGCGTTGACGGCGTTTTCCACGGCGGGGCTCCTCGTAATTCCGCTTGCTGAAGTGGTATGCATCCTTTTGTAATGTACATACAGAAACGAAGGAATCGCAATAGACACATGGTTGGATAGAGGGGAGTATTTTAATCGTCGAAATAAATATGGGTATAAGCTAATGCCTGCCTGGCCCTTATTATTCGCTACGACCGGAGCAGAGGAATGAGATTGGAGCAGATCGTCAGACAGCTCTCGTAGAGCCCTGGAAAGATCTGCAACGCGTGCCTCGGACAGCAACATTATCCCGGTGTCGAATGCGGGAATTTATCGCTGGCGTCCGAATCGCACTCGCATCGCCCCAAGCTCAAATTCCGAGTGTCATATGTGAGGTGTGAGTAATTTCCCCTGCTCGATGTCATACACTCGATAGTCTCGAAGTTTCCGAACGAACGTTCATCCACTGACTTTCGGCTCGAAAATCATTAAGCTGTGTGGGCCTAGCCATGAGCTCCAGAATGAGTATCCGTTTGAGCATCTCCGAGGTCGGGTCACCGAACTCGAATGAACTTCAACATTCAGAATATCTAACCCAGGGGTGTCCCTTCCTGGTCGCAGAGAGCTCTGACATGACAGACGTCGCTAGTGGACTCGACACAGCGAGCATCCGTGATCTCGGTTGTCCCTCGATGCCTCGGGAACTCTGATGGAAAAGGGCTTCCCCATATGGCGGAAAGGTCAAATCAACGGGAAGATTACAGGAAGACTCCTTCCGTCGGGGCTCACTGATGGATTTGAATGGATAAAGGTGAGCGATGATGATGGCGCTCTGGCTCTATCGCTCCTCCATCGACCAATCACTTGGACTTGCAGATTCAGGACTCTGCTGGGGCATCATCTGAGCAGCGACGTATGCAGGCCATCGCATCTCTCGGACACCCAGTCTACTCCATTGATTGAAACGCTCCCACCCGACGAAGGCCGAGCATTCCGGCCGTCGCGCGCGAAACGCTATTGAGTCCTAGAAACGGGGAGGAACCAACGATGGAGGAGGCGTATACACACATATCGGGAGAGGAAGAAAAGCAGACGACGACCGCGGGCAGCGTTGACAGCTCGGAGTCATTGCCGTGACAGGAATCGCTAAACACGTAAGTCGATCGCTCGCGTAGCTCGGAACCATGAGATGAGCCCTTCCCATCTAGCTCTGAGCATCTTTCCATTTATGCGATCTGTCCTTGGGGGAAAGATATCTTCGATCTCCGTTCAGGCCTGCTCATTCCCGCATATTTTTTTTGATGACTGCTTCTGCCACCGTTCGCAATTCATTCATCTCGAGGGTATTCAAGACATACCATGTCGAATCCCCGGGGTACTGAGGGTACAGACTGATCTGGCAGAGAATCATCTTTCTATACGGGTTGCCAGACAGTTGATATCAAACTTGGATGTGCTCTCAGATCCCTCAAGTGGTTTCGTGATACTGGAGCGCTCTGGCTTCCTGGGGAACATAGGCTTTCGGGGACCGCTCGCCGGAAGACAACGGGCGGCGGTGTCTGGAGAAAAATAGGATTAAATTGCTCTCACGAGGGTAGGAGTCCATTGAACTTTGTCTAATCACGCTATTCCAGTCACTCCTCGACGATCTCGCTCTAAATTGAACGACATGGCGACCGGAGTAGATGCCGTCATCAAGTGAGTTGATTGAGCGTGAAGAGAACTCCCTCTGATCTGACCGGAGTAGGAGAATACATTCAACCATAGTGAGTTGAAAATGACTTCTCGGTCATCGAAGAACTCATGAGTTGTCGACTCTTCCCTTCTCAGCTACATTGAGCAACACAAGGACGACTATGTTGCGCGACTTTCTGAAGTTGTGGCTATCAAGTCGGTTTCGGCTTGGCCCGAGTCTAGACCGGATGTCGTCGCAATGATGCAATGGATGAAGGAGAAACTGATCGGTAATAGTCTAGAATCATTTTCATCGCTCGAATTTCGTCTCTTTGCATATCATGGGCAGGATCTGGCTTATTCTCAATACGAAATAGATCGGCCAAGATGAGGGATTTGCATTTCCCGGGGCCGAATCTCGTGAATTATTGACGGTCATCCGTGTGAGAAAGTCGTCGCGGCGAGTCACGCCGTTTTGTCGTAATTTATGGCATACAGCTCTGTCGCCAAGTCTGTCTCAAGGTATCATCACATTCGATGTCAATCTCGGCAGCTCTAAGAGATTCCTTCAATTCATGTTCCAGCCTGTGGCGCCAAGTGCGAGCTCGAGGAGATCGGTCTAGAGACACTGCCGGACGGCCGAAAGATTCCCTTGCCGCCTGTCCTCATCGGCAGTCTGGGAGACGATCCGGCGAAGAAAACCGTCTTGATCTACGGTCATCTCGACGTGCAGCCAGCCCTCAAAGGTTCTTACGCTCGACGAAGCGCCGTAGTCCAAGCTTCGACGGCGCTTTCGAAATGAGTATCAAATCTTGCCCGTTCTTAACTAAGCCGAATTTTTCCGAAAGAGGATGGATGGGACACCGAGCCTTTCGTGCTTACTGAGAAAGATGGGAATCTCTACGGCAGAGGATCCACCGACGACAAGGGACCAGTTCTCGGTTGGCTGCATGTCATCGAAGCCTACAATGCCACGAAAACCCCAATACCGGTGAACTTGAAGGTACTTATGCAGTTTGGATCATAGTCTTGGAGATGGAAAGTCCCCGAAATTTTTCTACTTCCGATTTCGAAAAATCTCTCGTCGGATTTCTCTGGCTCTTCCTCGTGAGCTCGGATAAGAAGCTGATACGGGAGCCATGACTTCTGTCCCCAGTTCTGCTTCGAAGGCATGGAGGAATCAGGCTCCGAGGGCCTCGACGATCTCTTGAATTCAATGAAGGGCAGCGACTTCTTGAACAAGGTTTGGGGTAGAGAATAATTGACTTCATATGCCTGAGCTGTTGCCGAGTGACCGTACTCATTGATTGAATCGATAAACGCAGGTCGATTTCGTCTGCATCTCTGATAACTACTGGTTAGGAAAGAATACGCCTTGTCTCACATACGGGCTGAGGGGGTTGGACTACTTCGGCATCGAGGTTGAATGCGCTGATAAAGATTTGCACTCTGGAGTTTTCGGAGGTGAGTAACGCGAAGAGTTCCTCGTGCAAGTCCCAGAGGAATGGAAGTCCTCCCTCGCCTACCGAGCGAAGTTGGCCAGGTGGAGTCATTTAGAGAGGGAAGCCCTGCGATCTCGATTGTTCTTTGTCTAAGGTGCGGTTCACGAGGCGATGAACGATCTCATCTGGGTGATGTCCAAGCTGGTTGATGTGAACAACAAAATCCTGATTCCTGGAATCATGGATGATGTCGTTCCCATGAGCCCGGAGGAGCAGAGACTCTACGAGCAGATCGATTTTGATCTTGAAGAGTACAGGAAGTCCATAGGCTGCAACAAACTCGTTCACGAGAACAATAAAGAGGGCTGCTTGCAGTCCCGTTGGAGGTATCCGTCTCTATCGCTGCACGGTATCGAGGGAGCCTTCTATGGCGTTGGAGCGAAAACGGTCATCCCGAAGTGAGTTCATCCGGCTGCTCATCAGTATGTCCTCTCCGATCCTAGTGTAGACGTCCCTCTCAGCTGAGCAAGCGCAATCTGACTTTGAGGTTGTTTTCTTCAATTCAGGAAAGTCATTGGCAAGTTCTCGATCAGACTGGTGCCAAATCAGGAACCGAAAAAAATTGAGAAACTGGTTCTGAATTATCTCAATGACCTGTGGAAAACTCGCGGTTCCCCCAACAAGTTCCGAGCATTCATGCTCTCGGGTGGACGATCATGGAAGTCAGACCCGAACCATCCCCACTTCCAAGCCGGCGCTCGAGCTACGAAGAAAGTCTACGGTGTCGAGCCAAACTTCACGTGCGAGGGGGGATCTATTCCCGTGACTTTGACCCTGGAAGAAGTGACTGGGAAGAATGTGATGCTGCTGCCGATGGGCCAGGCTGACGACGGAGCTCACTCCCAGAACGAGAAAATTTCCAAGAGGAATTACATTGAGGGCACCAAACTTCTTGCTGCCTATCTCGATGAAGTCTCGAAATGAGAACTCAGAATGATTAAGCGAAGCTGAGAGGAGCAACCCGGTTTCCTCTATACAAGGAAACCCTGAGTCCCGAACTTTGAACAACCCTTCCTACTTTGAATAAATCCATGCCTCTGGAATCGTACGACAGCCCTCATCAATCATATCATAGGCATTCTTTCAACTCCGGAAAGGGAGCTCAAGCCTTATCATCCTAGTAGAGAGAAATGAGATAGAGGACTGAGGATGCTCACATCGGGAGAGGCTGTCGATCGACCAGTAACTCTCTATAGGAAATTCCCATTTGAATCGCGTATGCAGGGGGAACGGCCGAAAGGGATCCAAGGTGATCTCGAGAGATTTCCGCGCTACGGAATTCCAGTAGGTTGCAGAAATTTTTATTATTAAGTCATAACTATGATTCTATCGTGTTTTTCTTTTCATAAAAACTCCCGCCTCCGAAGAGGCTCATATCTCTGACCGCATTTTTTACACTTTGGGATAGAGTCCCATTCTACCCCTTAAATCACAGCGGGTGACAAAAATCGATTCTTGGCTCTCGTCCATCTTTGTCGAAGCGCCAGGATTTGGTACTCCGCGTTCCACACAACTTTCCGCTTCATTCAAAAGCTGCCCTGGCCCTCCCCAATCGTGCTGATTTATAATCGTTTTCTCTGAAGACTTCGAGGATAGACTGACCCTCACCGGACCCCAAATCCTCAGGATTCTACACAGCAGATTCTTACACCATCGGAATATAGACAAGACATTCACCGCCAGCTTATGGTGACTCTCCGAAGCCGCCGCTCTGACAGATTCTTCCGGCAGATTCGTGCAATCAGCTCAGCGATGAGCATCAGGGACCACTCTCGGCAAGATCAGAACGCTCCGTGATTCGACAAAGTCGCCGAGATCGCTTCTAGGATGGCCGAAACTTCCTACTGTGCTTGATTCCTGTGATTGTGGCCCTGACTGTCCTGTAATTTCTTCTTCCTGGCGAGCATGTTATAAAAGGGATGTTGCATTGTGGACCTGTAATGGGAAGCAACGTTAGACGGGACTCGAAATGAGTACCAGAGACCCACAGAATCAGAGATTTCAAAGTCCTCGATCCCTCAGCGGAGCTGACTGACTTCGTGATTCTGTTTTCGGGGTGCAACCAGGGTGGTCGCGCAAAATATCGAGCCTCTGCGAACAGCCACCGAAGTCTACGCGCCCTCGGGGACCTACCTTTCGATGCAGCGCATCCACTCGTCCTTCTCTTCAGCGGTGGACGCAGACATTCTATATATACTGTGTTTCCCTGGGAAAGTATGAGAGTTTTGTCACTACTCGCGCCGAGTAATCAGGTGTGATACGACGATACGATGACGCGGGGAAATAGAGAGAAGATCAGAAACAACCCGAGAGATATCCTACCTTCGACGACTTTACCATCGGAGTCGGTTTTGCAAGCTTTTATGCAGCTCCCGCCGACGGCAAAGAGTTCAAAGCAATGCTGTCGATTACTTCGGTCCGTCGCATCTCTGACAGACACGTTCTCGAGGGGTATGATGCCTCGAGGCTCTCTATCAGTGGTGTACTCGAAATAGTAGAGACACTTATCGGACAGGATGAACCATCTGTGGAATGGAATCGAAAGGGAGCTCAATCAGAATGCATGTCAGGAGAAGACGACGGCAGATTGGGGATTTCGATCGATCATGCAAGGAGGGATCAAATTAGACTCGCGGTCCCATTGGGGCGCAGTAATTCTGAGCTGTCGGAGCCTGATCGTCGAATCGCTCGGGGGAAATATTGATCCCTTGACGGTTCATTGCTCCGTCCAGACCGAAAACGAGCTACTTAATCTAAGAATGCATGAGCGAGAGGGGCAACCGTGTCCTGCTCATCAATGAATTTGGTATGTTCAGATTGGATCTTCGATGGTCTGATCTACGATCGCTTCCCTCAGATCCTAGGGCGGCCCCAGTATATAATCCTGTCAGGCGATTTCGGTCTTTCCAGTAATGCGAGGCGGGATTGAATTCGAAAGACAGGAAGAGTCTCACCTTCGCTTCCAAGACTTCACTCGTCCTCCCTGTTTCCATAACCATCCCTCTCTATCTGGGTTGAAGAAAGTGTGCATCAAATCGTTGCCGTCGTCCTCCGGGATTTTGAATGGCTCCGCGCGGATGTTCTCGAAGATTGGCGCCAGCATGTTCCTGCAAACAGCGTCTCGATCGATTCAGAGTTCTGAGGAAATCCGTCACAATAGCGACGCTGCTAGGTACGGGACAATGCCAGGAAGTATGGGGAACCGCCTCACCTATCGTACGCGTACGGCGAGTCTGAGACCATTTTGACGAAATCGTCGATACTCGGTTTGTCTTTGATTGAAGGGTTGTGAAGCATCGTATTCAACATGATCACCGCGAATGATAAAATGTAACACTGATCTGGAGCTTCGAAAACACCCTGAAAAAGACAGTTCGGAGAATTATAAGACGAATCAAAGCTCTCGATTGGGATATTCCTATGTTCTCGCCTGTCTCTGGGCAAAACCTACCGGGTTCTGGTCACAGTAGTGATTGGCGAACTCTTGCATCATTCTGTCAATTTTCTGGGATTCCCCAGGCAAACGGAAAGTGAATAAAAAGCGCCGCAAGGCTTGAACGAGGATCAAATTTTTGAATTCATGCAGGTTTATGAATGCGTGAAGAACTGCTTCGTTGAACTCTTCTTTCTCGCCGAGATAATCTCCAATAGATTTTTTGGAGAGACCTTCGCCATTGAACAGGAAATCAGCAACCGCTTCCGGCGTCTTCTCAACAAGCCTTAAAGAGTAGACGATTTTGTAGACCACAATCGTTTAACCTTCGGGCCTGTCGAGGGGCTGGCCATACATCCGGTCAGATGCGCAGGGCCAATGAATTCGGCGTCGCTTATCACGGCCGAAGCGAGTACATACCCGGTATCTATCAAATGTTTGATGCCTTTTTTCGGATCGAGATTGAACATTTTCCTGCCTTGCGTCTTCAACCTAAGTCTTGTTTGCGATTCGCCATCCTGTCCGCCATTCCCGTGGGTCCCTGGGAGCAGTGAAAAACCGAAATGATATTATTTGCTCAATGTGCCATAAACGTTTCACGAGAGAACATCAAAGGAGAACTCACCCCGAGTGGAAGATTCGAGTTTGGCCATATCATTCGTGACGCATTCGATCTCGAAGCGTATTCGTTCAATCTCAGCCTTGAGCGTTGCTTTCCTGTTTTGGATATCGAGGAGCACCGTGTACTCGGCCTGAGTCAATTCTGCATTAGGGAGGAATCCATTAAAGAAAAGCTCACGGTCACGGTTCTCCGGCGGACGATAACCTCTTCGGGACGTTGATTCATCCGAGTCCGAGAACGTGCCAGAGTACTACTTCGGATACAGAACATGAACCAAGGATGACTGCAGTCACCAACGTTTCGGTTAGTACAAGAGCTCCATCTTGATACCGAACAAGTGCAGCACAGGGCAGCGTGACGGTGCCGTCGACATTTCGTGAAAATCTTCACCTGTCTGGAGTCGAATACCGACCCGACCCTCAAGAAACAAGCTGTCGGAACAGCTGAACACAACACACAGGGCAAGAACCCCGGCGTTTGCTCTTTTGTCGATGCACTCCACGATGAAATCACTCTTCATGGCTCGAATATGGCTCGAATAGGCTCTCATTCCGTGTGTACGGTGCTGGACTTTCTGATGAACGCCAGTGAGCCAACGTTTGCATCGAATAGAGCGAAATCCTGATTCCCAAGGCTTGGGATGAGAGTGCTCTCGGAGACAGCCCCAATCATCGGGGGTGTCCCCCGGGGATTTTCCCATCGAATACCCCGCCGCGGTAAGGGTTCTCATCCCACGCACCGAGAGAGCTAGCCGGGCTACCTGACTTTAACTGGAAGTTGCTGTCAATGGGAGGGAGCTTCGAGCGACGCGAGAAAGGAGTATGACAGCGGTTATCCAGGCGGGGGGAGCTGACTCTCGATTGCTCATCTCTATCAAAGAATAAGAAGCCTCGAATTCAATGACCTGGGTGTGCTTGAATCATGATGCCGCCGAGAGTTTGTTGCAATCTCGATCCACGAAACCGGAGCCGGACAAACCGGGCGTCTTTGAAGTCTGTCTCAATATCTTCCACACAGCATGAGACGATCAGCCGTCAGATCATCCCCACACTGCACATCGAAAACGTAAACAAATTCGAGTACGAACAGCTGCTACTGCCAAAATAGACAGACTGTGTAGACCCGTGGACAGCGCTCTCTCAGAGCTGCTGCTGCCGTAGCAGAACGAGAACAGGGACCTGCCTGCCGGTCTTGAAGACGCCCCACTGATGATGAGGGATCACAGTAATCATCAATTGCCTTCATCGAGTAGATACGCGCCAATTCTTGACTCCGTTTCAGTCACGATCAGACTAGAGTCGATCTAGGTGCTCGCACGGCATGCTCCCATGCGGAATTTCTGCAGATTGGACCTCTTGAGGGATCGATCGGGTTATATCTCAACGGAGAGAGAGGCTCGGTCAAGGAGCGTGAGCATAGAGGAAATAATTCCGATGATCTTTGTCTGCTGGCTGACCGAATCCGGGCGGTCGTGCCGTTCACCTGCGATCCCCGGCTCGCTTTACGTTGAACCGCGTAGCATATCGGGAGGAGATTCCGGTCATTCAGGAGTGCCCCCTTGCTGGATGTGAGGACTCGTCTGCCAGCATTCGATCGGAGCTCGGGTCCTAATCAGCACTTCTGATGGTGGTATCTCTTGCCTGTACTCAGTCGGTCAGATATGTTTTTTGGCGAGCGAGCAGCTTCAATCTCCCCCAGGGAAACGTCTGTCTTACAGTCGCGCCGAGGACTTACTGTAGGGGTCGTACACGATAATCGCTCACTTATGAAAACCTGGGGAGGGAGATCCCCTTGAGCTGTTCTGAGCTGAGCGAAGATCCGACTCTCATGACCAGTGTTCTCGTGTAGATTTGGCCATAGACTCGCAGTTAATTTGCAAAGAGCTCCGTCGGAACATTCTCCCAAGAAGACCTCATAGCGGATGATTGGTGCTCATGAAATGGCAGGAACAATGAAAAATCCACATCTCGCATGAACCGGTTTCCTTCTTCCACTGACCTTCTCACACTCTTCGGACTCTCTAACTCGACCCAGATTCGCGAGGATGGGGACTCGAGGCTCATGGAGATCGAATGAGCACAGCCAGGACCTCCGAGAAGATATACACCAGCCTACATGAATATGGTCTGGCGCAGCGCTTTGAAATCTTGCCAGATACCCTTCTTTTCGATCCTTAGAGCAAGGCAGTGGTGGGAGTCCGGTGCCTTCTGCCGCAGAACGAAAGTCTCGCTCCCTCCTGGGGTTAGGGTAGTATACCGAGAGTCGTCAGAGAGGCATCGTGAGCAGAACGCTAGAATATACTTCAACACCACTGCGGTGACCTGGATTATCCAGCTCCGATGGAACTGAGGGAGAGTGCTCCTCCGGGGTTTGCTATCTCGCAAAATCGCTCCCCACAGGAAAGGTTGTACGCTTCACAAACCGTATCAGAGCGTCATCTTCCCTCCCAGTCTCTCGATCTTGTCGTCTCGAATGTCGACGCCCGTTATTGAGTGCAGAATAAGCAGATCGTTCCAGGTTGTGATCATTGAATGCTTAGTTAGCGAGGATTCCGTCGTAAGATTTCGCGGCCTCCGGAAGCGAGGAGATCCTCAGGACTCACTCAGTCGGGATCTTAAAGCACCACGAGGATAGCGCAAGATGACTGAATATTCTACTCCCATCTCGCATCGGAGAAGCTCCTCTCGAATACATTGACCTCTGGCGGTGATTCTTCTTCAAGGAATGATCGGCATCTAATCGGAGTCCGAGAGTCACGCGGGGGATTTCCGAAGCGTTTGGAAAATGAAGAATAGACGGTCGGATCGGCTCGGACAACAATATGATCCCCCAGGAAGATTCCGTTCTCAACTCTCTGATACGTGATGATCAGAGGCCATTGTGATTCTCGGACAAATCAGGGAGGATGACCTCCTCTCGCTGCACTGATGCGCGTCGCGACATATCGTCCCCCCATGTTTCATATCGTTTTTGAATATACCCTCTCGACACCATGAAAAAATCACTCCATATCCACCAAACGGAAGATCTGTCTCCAATCGCTCCAGTCGCATTGGTAGCGCCGTCTGGTCGAAACGATATCATCATATGCGCGACGCTCTCTGTTCCACAGAAAGAAGATATGTACGCTCACGGCAAGCCGACGCGCTGCTATGTGCGAGCCGTCGATTCCGCTCCCTCTCATCAGTCGTGTACACGTTGGACTGTAACTTTTATCGGAACCTCGCTTTTCGTCCTCGGAGGAACGGATCAAAGAGCCTTGGGATGCCGATGGCACAGGAGGAAGCAATGAAGCAGAAGGAGAGACATGCGTGGTGTGATCAGACAACATCCCGGGCGTCGAACAGGGTGACCGTCCGCGGTACACGAGGAGCCGGGTTCCGATGGATTTCCTTAACTCTCAGATTCTCGAGGATTGATGGGTCGACAATTATTTATCTCAGTGGATGATAGTCGTCAGCCCAAGCTCGCTTGAGCGCTGATGCGCATCGCTCGTCACGAAATCCGAGAACGCAATGTCCTTGATCCTGATAGCGGCCGACCAGGAACGGAGACTGGCCAAAGAAGGAGACGAGGAGGAAACATATACATAGGCCAGAAATCCCAGCTTGGAGACTCTGGGTGATCGCGTTGAGCAACCGGTGAGCATGGAATGATCCCCTTCCTCGAGGAGAGGGACAGAATGTGATTCTGAAGACATCTGCGCTCGACCGAGAGTCTCGAAACGGTCTTCACACCATTCTGAGTAATTTCAGGGAGAAATGTTAGCGGCTCTCTTGATTCCCCTAGCCTGGATATGCCACACGGCGTGTGCTGCGCCGATCGTCACCCAGCCGAGCGAATACGTGGATGGCCTTCTGAAGTCGCTGAAGGACGAGGTGAGTTCCTCCATCTGCAGTCGCATTCGCCTGCTGCTTAGCTCTCCCCTCGCGAGGGTCGCTGCGCAATATTAGGCTTCGAGGGTAATTTGACGATGATGTCATGAATAGGGGGATCGTCGGATTTCTTAGTCGGGTGGATAAAAACTCATCCTTCGTCCTCCGCTACGGTGCAGCTTGACAAGGCATCACTGCGATGAACGCGCTCGCCCCATGTCGGGATGTAGTACCTGAATATAATCTTAAGAAGCTGAGAACGTTCATCTCAAGGAAAGGCGGATCCTCCATTCCAGTTAACCGAGGCGAAGAGAAATCATTTGATCTTGAAAACTCCCCGCGAATTCACGCATCACAATGAAAGTGAGCAGTAAAGCCTAGGTGCATATTTATTCTCCATGATTCGGTGATTTTCGCAACTGAGTCCGTCAGAACGCTCCATCGTCCCCAGCGACGAAGAAAACGATCGAGGTCTCGGTATTCCGAGCCTACGTCGATGGAATGGGAACATTGGAAAGAGCGGACAACTGCAGTGTGACGCGTCCCTCCAAGGACTCCAAGGAGACGATCGAATGCTTGCTTATCTCCCCATCAGCGACTTTGACAGCCCTTTCTCACATCAAGGTGATATATTAAGCTGCTTAAAATCGATGCGAGGATGGAGCTTCCAATACGCCTATGTTTCCCCCGAGAGATGAGAGCGGAATTCCCTCCAGGGAGAAACAGACCCCATGGTCAAATATCAGGCCTCGATGCACAAAAAAATGTTCGTGGTCACGATCGAGAGAAATCCCGATGGTACCGCGCAATTGGAGGATTTCCGTTCGAGTCCCCTCGCGCTGACTCATTTGGACACGGCAATCGCAAGGAAAATGTGAGTGGCAAGTATTCTACATTCAGGGAACTCTAACCTCCATGCGACTCATAAATCCATCATTTGCGATACGTAGGTGTAGCAAGCAGCCGAACATGGCAGTCTGGACGCAGAATCACGTATGTGATATCGAGTGCCTCAGGAACCCCCTTCCTCTCTTCTTCAATGAGAGACAGTTCGCTGAAGATGCACAATCACCTCCTCAGGTCATCGCAGATACTCTCCCAAGTCAGGGACTGGGTGGACGGGGGCATATCCGAATCAATCGGATCCATCAAGGAGACCCTCAGTGAAATCGTCGAGCGCTCCAAATCTCCTGGAGTAGAGCAGATGTCGCAAAGCCCAGTGGAGGCTGAGAGTCAAGGGGTCTGATCGCCCGGACCTGACAGCCCGCCTAAAAGTCGTTATCGTTCTCCTGGTCGGGAACAAGCTCCGGGATTTTCGCGAACATCAACCTCGCGAGCCGGAATTCTTCGAGTTTTCAAATCTCCTTCCGGTGCAGAGAATCTTCTTTCTTCATATCGACTACCCCAAGGAACTTATCGACAAGAATAAAACTGTCCTTGTCTCGTATTCCTCTCCACGAGCGGGCGTCATTCTTGTGTCCGGCGAGCGCGCCCTGATTGAGAACTCGGGAGGAATCAACTCTCGGAACGGAAAAAGCGATGCCTTCGCAGACATGAGTCACATGAGTCGCAGACATGGCTTTCCTGTGACATAACTCTCCACTGTTGGGATCTGAAACTGGATGCGATGATCTAACCCACGCGGCGGTCCGAGAAGCTGCACCGAGGGTAAACTCGGGCGTCTGCTTCAGCTCGCAGCTTGAACCGTTTCTGATTCGGCTGGTCGGGAGCAATCGCTCTCATCGGAAGCTCAAAATCGTACATTTGATCAATCGCCTCAGTCGATCTGATCTCCTACTTGTCGTATTCGATACCGAACCTCGACAACTTGATAGGCTCCCGGTGAGGAAACGGGTCATGCAGCCATCTTAGACGAAGCCGTCTCTTCCGAGGAATGCAATCATATGCATATCCACTCCGAGACCAACCAACGGGAGCGACCGAAGGGAATGGGGGATGCGGATTCAAGAACGAGGAGTCTCGAAGGGCGCTTGCACATGGCCGTCCACTCCAAAGTCATGTGGGGCTTATCATCGAGCAGATTCAGCGCCCGAGAGGAGAGACCGCTGAGCCAGACGCACAAGAGAGCCCTAATCATGAGCCTCCAATGTTCTTGCTCATGGAGATTCCAGCTCATGGGGACTCGCGAGCCTGGCTTCCGCGATTTCTAGCTTTCGCGATTCTGGCTAAAGAGACGAATGACTGGCTGCTACGGGTGATAGATGAAACGATCTCCGCTGCTCAGACCGGAGAAGAGAGAAGAAATATCAATCGTATTGCGGATGAATTATTTGGGTATGACAACTAAAACTAGGAGAGGATATGATTTGTATGAAGAAATCTGTGCTTATAGTTACCTAATACACTGCCTGTGACACAAGCCTCCGACGCGAACAAGCCAAGTATTCGTGACCCATTCTATAAGAATTAAGCAAGAGCGAAGCATCGGGAGCGAGATTCATGCACGGCGAAGAGATCGGGCAATCGCTCGAAGTCTCGAGGGGGAATTTATCCGCGCCAGTTCCGATGACTCAGGACGCTATATCGGTGTTCGAGATCCGGCTCGCACATGTTTCTTCCCACCCGAATTGTGAGACATTATGTTCATCGCAACATTTCCCGAATTCGGGACCACGTTCATGTCAGAGATAAATTATCTTATCTTCCATCACGGCGCTCCCACGGCCCCCATTCTGCTGTGCTTTGACCGTCAACCGGCAATCGGATGGTGCCCCCAGTTCTCTGCTTGATTCCGAGCTCCTGGAATCTCGGAGATGCGATGTGCGATCCTTGGGGGACCGAATTCTCGAGGCTTTCGGGCGCATTCCTCATGCAGAAATTGATTTCCCGTCTCTACGACATCCTGTGAGCTTCTCTCGACCAAGGCAAAATAAGCCTCACCTTCTCTCAGATTCTTCCTCGGTGTCATTGATTCCTCGATGATGAGTATCACGTTCGGATCAGTGATTACTCCGAAATCCGGGGGCTCCAACCAGATGCACGGATACCCAGCACTCAGACTCGGTAGCATCGGCATCGCAGCGATTGTCCAATTTTTCATCCCCTTTACCCGATTCCCAGTCACCGTACTACGATACGATCACTCGGGTCTTAATCGCCCCACTCCTGTTCGCCCAATACCAGTGTCTGATCGTTCCTATCCTGGTCTGCACCTTCGATGACGACCCTGAAGTCGACCCGAGCACGACAGAGTGCGATTTGCCCATCCTAGAGGTGTCAAGCTCAGAGACGCGTCGGGCCGATTTCGGTGCACGCCATGCTGATTCCCTGGATTCCCTTCAAAGCGAAAATTACGCTCAACGTGTAGCCGCGACTCGAAGTCATAGCGACGGATCAATTCAGATGAGTCGCACCGCTTTATTCACAAGAATAATCGACGATTCCATTGGAAATTGACTCTGGATATCTATAGACGAGCTTCACGGAGGAACAAAACTCAGGGGCCAATACGGCCCGGAGGCCCGCTGTTTGATACCCCTCCTGACTCTCCCTCGCAAGTCATCCGGCAGGGAGCGTGCGAACTTCCAACGGCTCTCATTACGGAGCGGTGTCTCGACATCTCGCATGCGCAAGAGTCAGCCAGACAAAAGTCTTTCATTAACAGAGAGTAGCCTTGCTTGCTTGCTACGAACGAAGGATCCAGTTGATTCGCTCTGGATGGAGCGGAGCCCGAAGATGCGTTCGCTAAACTACTCAATCGTTTCGAGGAGCTACGTCCCATCGATGCTCGATCGACTAGGTTTCATTGTACCAGAGAGTCGCAGAGAATCATTCTGAAACGCCCTGATAGCATGTCGAACCCCTTGAGAAACCACGGTGGTGCTGACCCTGAATGTCTCTATTGGAGCTCCATATGCAAAGTCGAACCGGCGCAGTTCGAGCCTTGAAAGCAGCGGCGTCGACCGAATTTAACTATGGGATTCGGAAGCTCCAGAAGTTCGAGCATGATTGAATGCTGTCGTGATTAGGCGTCACATAAGCTCGAGAGAAAACGGAAATTCAATTAGATCCGCTTATGCAGAATTATTGAAACGCTTGTGTCGAATCCCGAAAACCGCCGAGCAAATCGAGAGATAACTATTTACCTTTATCTGTGCTGGGTCTATCCGGACTATGACTCTCAGGAGAAGAAAGTGACCGTGAATTCAAAGACCAGCTTTCCTAGGGGAGCGGAGTTCAGCCTTGTTCTGCTTCAGGGATGGCTCCGAGAATGCGGTTGTCTCTTCTCATATGCGTGATCAATATCGCGACCTTCGTGGCCGCTACTTTCAATGCTTCGAGATACGTGAGGGATATTTTCGAGACGGTCAAATACAGGGTGAGTGACTACCTCAGAGCAATCGAATCCATACTCCGCCATTTGTGCCTTCGGCGAGTCTTCGGGGCAGCTCCCGGAGACAGGTCGAATGAGTCAATGACTCCATCATCGCGCGCAGTACTTCTTTATGAGGAAGAAATGCCGTAAACAGACATATGTATGGATTAGGTGAGGTTTCTCTCCGCTCTCCTGATGTAGTACCATTCCTCTAGATGACTGAATATGGACCAGTGAACTGGGCTCTACCCACATACGACATCGAGCTCCAGCGAGAAAGTGGGTATCATCAGTGCCATCTGCCATCATACTATATAAAACACTTCGAGATGACTTCAACAGGAGCGGCATCCGCAGCGGAGAATCATTACTTGTGATGTATTACAGACGATAATCTCTCGATTTCGTTCTTCCGGGCGTATTTCACCGGGCTCGAACTTCTGCAGCTCGAAGACGAATGTAGCATGCGGAATTTAACGCGCATCATCCACATCGAGTGCCTGGCTAAATTTCCCCAGGCAACTTTCACCGCTTTCGGCAATTTCAAGGTCCGCAAGGGAGAGCTCGTTCGAAACGAGGCCATTATGTTTCATTGCGGACACGCAGCAGAGCAAGTCTGATCGAGCCTTACGAGCCTTACAGTTTCTTCTGTGCTAAACTCCATTTCATGTATTTCCCGAAGGAATCATCGCAAGGAGGCGTGGTCAAAGTTCAAGTAACAACGGTCGATCTTCTATTCGTCCTGCGGATCGAGAAAACTCTCACACCGAGACTCGTTGCGTTCGACGCAGTCTCGCCTCCGGTTTTCAAAATCAGCCTCACACCTAATCTGATACCCGTCAGCTGGTGAGAATATCAGAGCGGCAGCCCCGATCAGTGGCTAATTAAACGAGAACGCCATGTCCGCACAGATAGTCAGGGATCTCAGTGTCTTGACCGATGGAGATTCGAACTTCGAATTTTCCAGGGATGAACCGGTGAGGATCGAAATCACCAAATGGTCTCATACGAAGTTTCTGAACTTCCTCAATGTCGACATCAGATGGATCCTCAACGAGATCATCGCTAATTCTTCAATGAATTGATCTAGTTGACGGACCCTCTGCTTCTCTTATCGAGTAGCCGTGAACGTAATAAAGACCTTTCAAAGAGTATCCAGTCAGCGAACTGCGTGACCGTAACAGAATCGGAGTTTTCGCTGTCGCATCATCTCCTAATCAGCAACTGCTCCGCTACATCAGCGGGAATGCTCCATGTACACACAAGCAGCGAGAGCTTCCCGGTTGGCTCGAGCGAGTCCGAAAATCCGAGAGAGTCAGGCAGGCTCGTGAAAAATAAGAGCTGGAATCGGTTCCGAAACCCAGGTCCCGAGAGTATCGCTCCTCTTTCCCGGAGATTTCGTATTTTCTCCATGCCGTGAGAGGAGCCTAGTTCTTCCAAGGTTCCGGACCTCCTACTAAAGCTTCCATAGATCCATAAATCGCTGTGGTATCTGAAATCGGATATATCTCTCCGAGTTCAAAGGCGATTCCTCAGCGTGTCTATTGGATTTCATGCAATCAAAGTCCATGAGACAAGGGACAACCGAGCTTTCCTGCAGATTGTTGCTTCCCGGAACTTCTAGCTTCCTGGAAGCTGCCGAAATTCTCTTGCAGCTCTCACAGTCGACTCCTACAGCAGCGGACTTGCACTCGCCTCTCGCTTACAGCCTCCTGACAGTTCCGCCTGCTCACGGTCTATTCTTAGAACAGCTTAGACGATCGAGAATCAAAAGGTTCATTCTCAGGAAGCCGGAAGCAGCTTGCTGCTAAACTTAGAAAATACTTGGTGATCTATCAGAGAGCAATCTCTGATTTGAATCCGCCAGGATCATTATGAAGTTCTGTTGCTCAATTAAGAATATCGCAGGTGATGAGGCCGCGCGCCCCCAAACGAAGCTCCGTCGACCTGCAGGTATTCCTGCGAGCGACCCGCGGCGCGGGTGAACTCAAGTCGCCATTCTGTAAGGATCTTGGAAATCAAACCTATGCATCGCTCGCTACGATGTCGTTCCCAGGCGCAGTTTCGATCACCCGTTCCATATTTCGCAAAATGCAAGTTACGGCTCAGACCTAAGTAGGATCCCCCGGTTATGCGAGCATATCGCAGGGGAGTCCCCCATCGAGTGTACCGCAATGAGCTGACCGAGCATTACTTGCGAGGTGTAATTCACTTCCCATCCACTCAGTGTATTCAGGCAGCCGCTAAAACTCTTTGAAGCTCCGACTTAGACTTTCTAGTAGCAGTTCCTGATGAAAGCTCGATTGATGGGTTTCGTTCTCGGTCGATCGACCTAGGGACGTCTCCAGAGGGGCTGACTGCAGTCATGAAAAAATCGACTGGGAAGCATCCGAGCGCCTCCCCTCCATGACTCATGGCTTTCAATTCAAGAGTTTCACCCTCCGGGTCGCCAGCAGCGATGCTCGACCCCTAGCCGCCCCTCGTCGCTCGCTGTGGCGCGGTGCTCCATCTAGAAATCCATTCCAGCAGCGCTTCTCTCATCTTCGAAAAGGTGCGATGCTGCCTTTTGGAAGACTCAGGAGTTCCCAATCGGGCTCGAAATCATCGAAACTCATGCGGCATGATCTCCCCGGAGTTTGAACGACCGAATTCCCATTCCGAATAACGGGACTTGGACATCTCGAGGCCTCGTAATTAGAGCTGTGTGCCGCGCTCCGAGATCGCCGGCGATCGCCGAGCTCTGAGCACGGCGTCCTGCGGCGGAACGGCGCGCCGTCATGATCCCCATGGTTAACAGTCAAGAGCTCTTTTGAAAGATTTCCGGAAACTTTCGGAGCGAATCGAGGGAATACAGAAGAAAATGTTCATCAAAGTCAAAGAAAGAGAACCCCGGCCGAGCTCGATGCGCTCGCTCGATGATGAGAATCGTAGACCACACCTAATCTCATCCGAGAATCGAGACGATTCATAAGTTTTTCTGTCGACTCCTTGCCGCACATCAAGAGACGAAAAAGGAATGACGAGCCTGCCGTCTTGTGTTTTCATACACGATACTCGAGAGTTCTTGCAGAATAGGTGATTTACGAATGAACCTAATTTGTGCTCGCTCTTCGATTCCTACTTTCGCCATTCCGAAGCTCACTTTCTCCTTGGTGCCCTAGCTCACTCCTTGGGATCTATTTTCCTCATGGAGCTCGCTCCGGGTAAGAGAGGACCGCGGCGCGCCGTGAGTCTCAACTCCGCTGAAGAACGCCGCGGCGTCCGCCGCCGCCGCCTCTTCTTTCGCCTGTCGCCGCCGCCGCGAAAAATCGGATGGCGCACAGCACTGCACGCAATCGGGGGCACCTCGGGGGCTGGAAAGCGGCTCAAAACGTGGAGAGAGGGAGAAGGTGTAACGCCCCAGAGATAAATGCGATGTCTCCTTTGCTCGCGGAACCTCGCCGGGAGCCATCTGCGCGGGTCGTTCGATAGGTCTTTTTTTCGCGCAGTAGAAAGTGAATCACGGAAGTTTTCGGAGTGGTCTTTTCGACCGGCTAGGATATCTTTGGGAGAGGCTGGCCAGGCTCAGGGAAAGAGCCCATCTTGTCTTCCATGAAGTGTACCTCTCGACTGATTCCGATTGAAATAACTCGTCTGGCGAAACATGGAGAATCGAGAACATGCCGCGTCTTGCAAGACATCGATTGTTCCGAGCAGACGGATGAGCCGTCAATTTCAAAACATTGACGAAACGCGCCGCTGTACGCCTCTGCGGAGGAGAGCCGAGGACCCCTCGGGGTTTCGCTTCTTTGAAGAATCTTCCGAGTCCACTGTCGGAAGAACAGAAAGAGCTGGCTTAATCAAGTCAGAGAGTTCAGAGAGTCCGATCTAGAGACGGCGCGGCGGATTCCTGTGTCAGAGGATTTTTCGAGCTGGACGAATGAACGCTAGGAGAGTGAAACCGTGAGGTTCGTCTCACCCCGAAGATATGAGGCTACCAACCTGCTTCCGGAGAGTCTGTTCAATCGAGGCTTCGCTCCGCATCAGTCTCCTGTAGTGCGTCGTGATCAAATCGTTCTGCGAGAAAAAAATCGACCGGAGGTAAGGCAGCACCCCTTGCGTCTCGAGAAGACTCATTATCTTCCCAGTCTGACCGTAGAGAAAATGGGCGGGAAGGACAGATGGATCAGTGAATATCGCGGATATTGTGTGCTCATCGGGGATATTCTGCGATTGACAGACGTGATTCTCCATCGAAACTTCGGAATGGGTTTCTTCTACACATTTCGCGCTGAATCGCTGGTTCGGAGCACCTCGAGCTCGGAGGAGCTCGGAGTGCTCGTTTGCACGGGGCTGCGCCGTGACCATTCATGCTCCGCGCCGCTCCTCGACCAGCCCAATGAGAGATCTCAGAGATTCTAGTGCTATCGACTTGATCATACTCCGCATGAGCCACTGAAATTCGGGAGCATCAGGAATGTTCCCGATCCGCTCCGACCTTTCCCGTTATCTGCATCTTCAATCAGGTGCGAATGACGGACCACCGGTCGCGAACAATGGGGTCGGAAATGATCCTGAGAGCATGAATTTGAGCCGGTGATATCTCTCTCTTTGCAGTTCCAGTGGCTTAAAATGGAAGGAGCTCCAGACCTACAGGCTCGTAGGAGTACGTCATGCCCTCGAGTCCTTGGGAGCGAAACCGAGCGATCGAACCCGTCAACCGACGAAGGGATAGACTCTGCCGCGGAATATGGAGCTCATTCCTCACCTGAGAACGCAGCTATCTCTCCAATTTCTGGAAATGCCACCGGGTCAGCAAAATCAACTTCTCCAGAATTCCGGAAATCAAGCTCGAGCTCCGGAAGAGTTCTCGGTCCGGCAGGGGTATCCAAGGAGCAGTGCGAGAGGAAGAGTCCACACACTGAAAGTTCCAGGAACCGGGATAAGGACTGTGCACAGAGTCAGTGTCCCCTCCATGGACAGATCTTGGTCGATGGAGCGGCAGCTGAATTCATCGACTTTTGCGAAGAAGTACGCTCGAAAAACCCTCTAAGCCCCGTGCGCGAGAACGGTCAGGATCGTATAGGATCCCTCATATGCGAATTCCTGGTGAATAAGAAGAGTTGGGACACGGGAGCGGCGATAATCGCGGTGAGAAAAGCGAGAGAACCCGGTATTTGCGAGGAAAAATGCATCGATGCACTCTCCGCGCGTGTCGGCAGCACCGACGGAGATGGTGCAAAAAATCTCTTCTCTCAGCAGCTACCGACCCTGGACAGCGCCGGGAGAAGATTGCGCGAGCTGATGGCTAAGATTCCCGGCTTAGCCGTCGCCGAGGATCCCTTATGGGTGCGGAAGTTTGCGTCTCAGCTCTCCGGTTGCCGGGAGCCGGGATTTCCCGGGGCCCGCCACACGCGCATCAGCGAAGAGAATCTGCTTAAGTTATCAGGAGCTGCCTATCGGGTGACCTGGAAATCGGACGGCCTCCGTTTCCTCCTGCTCATGACGCACCCTGGAGTGACCTTCCTGCTTGGAGAGGAGGATGAGGCCTACCAAGTGTCTGGTTTCTCTTTTCCCTACTCAAAGGACGCCTCCAGACCACTCTTCACGACTCTGCTCGATGGGGAATTGGTGTTTGATCTGGACGGGGGAATAAGCAGACCTCGCTACCTGATCCACGACATCATTCATTTCCGTCTTCAGAAAATGTGGAAGATGAATTTCAGCGAGCGAGAGTCGTGCATCCAGAAGGAAATCATAGATGTCAGGAGGCGATACGCGCAAGAGGGGATCCTCGATTTGAAGGAGGAGCCCTTTTCGATAAGGAAGAAAGAGTTCTTCCCACTCGGAATGACCAGCAAAATCATCGCTCCGAAGTTCAGATCGCAGGTCTCGCACAGGGTCGACGGCGTAATCTTCAAAGCGGTACATGAGGCCTATTCACCCGGACCCAGTGATGCTCTCTTAGAATTTATTCTACCGCAATCACTCAACGGGGCAGCATCCGCATTCCAAGATTCTCTTCTCGAGAACATTCGACACACATCCTCAAAAGAGTCGAAAAGTCCATCCCCACCATTCGACGAGCCGGGCAGGAAACGGCACCGCTCACTGCCACAGGGGAATAGTCTACTCAAATAGTCTACGACAAATCACACAGGCAACTCCGCCGTGTATCCTATCCGTGGATGTGCCATTTCCCTCGAGGGGAATGCCAGGGCATTGGGGCAATAAGCGTGGGTTATTCCACACTTGGTGATATATTCCTGTGGGCGGATTATTTAAACCTTTTTACTCAATCATATTTATGAACGACTTACGATGGAGAGTTAATGTCTCTCCAATCGAATCATACCGTCAACAAGCTTATCGCGGAAAACGATTTCATAAGGCAGACATCTGGTCGAAGATGATGCTCTCACTTCGTCTTATCTCGGCGGTTTTCTCCCGTCTATATGTCTCCATTCTCAAAGATTGACCCGGCATGTTTTTATGTCAAGATGCGAAGTCGCCCGGTTCCAATTCTCAAAATCCGCTCTTGTGATGATGATTTGTGCAAAATAAAAGAGAAAACTCAAAAACCTGGCGTGCTGACTTAGTTAGATGTACCACAGAGAGGTTCGCTCACGCACAAGTCGGCGAAGAACAAGGGGCCAAACACCGACTGGGCAAAATATCTACCAAAAGATCTACTGGCCAATGGACCAACCCGGTCAAAGCCAGTGGGGTGAGAGTCAGAATCGTCGGAAAAGTTCCCAGGCTCGGTCGCATGAGATGCTCCTTATTGAGAGACTACAACTGACCTGAAAGCCCACGACTCAGCAGGAATCGTATGAGCAAATCATCGCATGAGCGAGCTCACGTTAGGACGCAAGGTTGCTGTACGGCAATCAAGTTGGATGAGACGCTTGATCCGAGATTTCGCAGTTGCTCATCCGCAGATTGTCAACATGGACAGCTTCCGAAAGTTCGGATTGATCTAGATCGAAGACTCGGAGAGGCTCGATTGACTTGGTCGCTCAGTCGAGGAGCACTTGATTCCCCTGAGTGTCCTCGCCCGGCGAGGCTCGCCGTTCCTTACTCCTCGGTTTCTTTTCCCAACCCTCCCGAAGTTTGCGTGATCCGCACTCATTTCTGCTGTGCTTGAGTCGAGTATTGAAGAACAGCGGACACAATCGTTCCGATGGAGAGCCTAATATCGCCTCATGACTCGTCTGTTGTATAAACGTCTAGGCATCTGGCGATCATTTCTTGGCTAGTCGGTTTTCGGCCCAGTTGTTCTAGGCCAAGTTGGTTCATTACCTCAGTCAGATTTTGGCAAAATCGTCCTGCACCCTTGACCTCTATTATCAACTCGTAAAGATCGCTGGCATGGTCGCTATCCTCATCATCACCTTCGGTTGATAGTGACCCTACGCTGTATCGAACGCTGCTCCCCTCGTCATCGGAATTTGGAAAAAAACCCTGCTTATTCGAATGTTGGATGGGTAGATGTTCTTCACTGCAATTCCTTCCAGAATGTCGTCTATCGGCGGTGAAGGATACCCATTGTCTCGTCGTAGAGTTTCCTATTGTCGATCCCCGCTCTACATCCTCCGTCAGCTTTCGTCACGAGCAGAACTGGGCTCGCGTATGCTGAGTTCAAATTCTCGATCATATCAGCTTCCTCGATCCGCTCGATGATCTCTCTCAACGCTCGCTTCTGCAGCGTTGATAGTCAATACTGTTTGCTCCTGAGCGGTAGGCTGTCCGTGACTCTTGTGTTCCAAAGTCTCTGAGTGATGTTCTTCCAAATCCTTAATTGATGTGGCGACCACGTCTTGGGAGTCGTTCAGTATGCCAAGTAATTTCTGACGCCGTCCTCCTAGTACTCCTCCTCCGATAGTCAAGTCCTCCATTCTGATCGTTTGCCGCGGTGTTGCTTCCACCCGCTTAACCGTCGCCTTTTGTCCTTTTGTTTCTGCACTCACTCCGCCTACTTCTCCCAATTTTTCAATCTCGAACAGCTCACCGAACTTCTCACCGTTAACCGTATATATCGAAACCTTCTTCAAGGTGATCTCCTCTGTAGCTGAATCCATCGCCGGGACTGAAACATCTTCTCCTCTCTCGATCTCCTCAGATGGTGCTCCGACCCGAGACTGGTCTTCTTACACTACCGTGCCTTCTATCTTCCGGCTCTAATTCCACCAGAGACACCGCTTTCGGCTACAGCATGACTTTGACTTTGAATTTCATGTTCCTCGCTCCTCCAGGCATAACTTCTATATTCCTCCGATCGCTTCTTCTCTGAGTATCCAGGCTCGTCCATCTTCATGAACTGTAACCGCTCAGTTTATCGAGCGAGTCCTTCCCTAGATGACTTCCGTGCGACCCACACATCCATCGCTACTTCCGCCTGTCAGAGGTTCGTATCATCCCTCGCAGGCTCCCTGAATCAAACGTGTTTCGCTCGGGCTCATTCCTAGGTCGAACTCCGATGCCGCCGACACTCCTATAATGCTGATTTTAGCTTCGGTGACAATCCTCACCAGGCATTCTGTATCGTCTGAGTCTGAATTCTGCACCTCTACATAATCCTCTTTCTTGGTGGATAAGTTTTCCGATCCGTCGAATACCTAGCGTGCTACTCTCTCGATGGTATTTCAGCTTTGGGCCAGGTATCCCGCACGTCTGCATCTGCTGCACGTCCTTCGTCCCGATGTGTGTGGGATCGCGCTGCGATCTTGGTGTAGAGTTCTTCAGAGAAGAAACCCTCCTCAGACTGAGAAGCTCGAATTCAAGTAAGCTCGACTTTCATATTTCTCCTACCTAATACTCCGTACCCCAAGGCTGGTTTCCTCACGAAGCGTTGATTGTGACAACCATCCAGCATATGGCGTTGTTTCTAACGGTTTTCGATATTTTCAGCATTCCACAAGCATCAAGCATCGGAAATCTCTGCTTACTGTTCAGAGTAGGACATGGAAGCCACGAAGAACGTATCTGCTCTCTGTGTTGGGACGTCTTTCCATGATGCTCTGACCCAGGTTAACCAGTCGAACACTTCGCCTGATGACGGTGTGGGTTCGAGCATCCACGGTTCGCCATCCATCGGAGGCGTCCAATCGCAAGGCACGATGTCTCCTTCCGCCGCTTCGATATCCCCGTCGGACACTCCGATTGCGTCTATGAGCCGGGAGGAGAGCATGTGCCCCCTACATGGGGAAGCCCTGAAGGACACCACGGAAGCTGAGTTCGCGGAGTTCTGTGCGAAATTCCGCGCGTCACATTCCGTGGACTCGATCAGAGAGAACTGCTCAGGGGTTTCCGACCAGGTTGGATCTCTGATCGGCGAATTCCTGGTCGGGAAGAAGGGCTGGGATTTGGAGGCCGCAACTACCGCGGTGAGGAAAGCCAGAGAGCCCGGCATCTGCGAACAGAATTGCGTCGACTCCTGTTTCGCCCGACTAGGAAGCGTCGAGGGACTTGACTCCACGGATAGTCTCCGCTGCCGGGGCTGGACGGTTTGCGGAGTGGTTCGCAGCAGCTTATCACTCGGATTCCGGGCGTGATTCCCGCCCCTGATCCTGAATGGGTCCGGAAGTTCGCGGCCCAGTTCTGTGGTCATCGAGAGCCGGGATTCCCGGGCACACACCACTCGCGTCTGAGCCGGGAGACTTTGCCGAAACTCTCAGGAGCAACCTACAAAGTCACCTGGAAATCGGGAGGTCTCCGCTGCCTGCTGCTGATTACGAATCCAGGCGTCGTGTACCTCTTGGACGAGCGGAACGAAGCCTACCGAGTTTCCGGCTTGACTTTACCCTACTCGGGGAACACCTCGAAGCAGATTTTCACAACGCTGCTCGACGGAGAACTCGTCTTCGACCAAGACGCGGGTAAAAGCAGACCACGCTACCTCATCCACGATATCCTGCATTTCCGATGCAGCGCAGTGAGGAAGATGGACTTCAATGTGCGGGAGCTTTGCATCCAGAAAGAGATCATCGAAGCCAGGCGGAAATCGGCGCAGGCTGGCATCTTCAGCCCAGCGGATGAGCTTTTTTCCATTCGGAAGAAAGATTTCTTCCCGGTCAACATGACTAGGGAGTTGCTCGCGCCGACTTTCAGATCGCAGGTCCCGCACAGAGTTGACGGCGTCGTGTTCAAGCCGGTATACAGGTCACACGCGTCCGGATGCAAGGACGGAATACAGGATTGGATTTTCCCGCGCTCAAATGTCGGGGACGCATCGACGTCGGAGGAATCTCTTCTGGAGGCTGTTCGTCTCGCAGCTGCAAGAGGGTCGGCGCGACCACCTCCAGCCAGCAAATACGAAAGGCCCAGCGAGAGAAGTCGGAACATCTGAAGGGGTCGGAGGAGTGTGATTTGGAAATTCGAGCGCGTGTTGATATCAGTAAAAAATGAGCATAAATGATTAACTGAGCCGCGTATGATTCCTCAATCATTCGGAAGAAACCTTCGACTATTGATGAACTTGACTTGTCGTTCGCAATCAACTTATCCTTCATTTGGGCGTGGGAATCTCGAGAACGATAATTGCTCGGGGCAGAACGATCAATCGATGAGTATCGTGCGATAAGCAGAAGAGCATCGTATAGTGCCAAGGAACACAAGGAGAAGCGAGAATCGGTTATTGGAGAAGACTATCGAGTCGTAGCGCGAGTTTCAATAGATCTCAAGTACAGCTTCGATGAAGCCGGACATCTCGATATCACGTGAACTCTTCAGACTCCTTCGGGGGGTTGAAATCGAGACTCCATTGTTCTCCACAGCGAGGACGAAAATCCTCCAACGCCCGCGTCGGGAAGCCTCCGTCATTCTCCGCGGATCCGAACTGCTTATACAGATACGGGGTGTGGCCCAGAGTGAAATCGCGAGGATTTCTCATCATGTTGCTGCTCAGGAGCTACAATGAACTGCATCGAAGCGCTATCGAATCACTCACGACTCACGAGTACTTATAGATCCCAGACATCAGGAATTGAGCATTCCTCTTAGGAGATGCCCTAATGAGCTGTCTATGTGTCATGCCCAGTCCCGTCCATGCCTATTTCTCATCATGGCGGGACATCGCGCCGCGCAAGACTGGAACTCCTTATCGGAAGATAAATCCACGAGCTATTGTTTTGCCTTTGAAATCGTCCAAAATATCGTGAACAGAAAATATGACCCTCATAAATTCCTCCTCCGCATACTTCGAATACCTCAGCAGACAGAAGACTTCTCCGTCCTCGATATGCGACAAGCGGCTGTTCGGCGCTAATTGAGAGCAACACGATTGCTGCTGAAGATCCTGACCCCCATCTGGGGTTTATTGCCGCAGAGCCTCATTCCGAAATAGAATTCCGGAATCTCAATCACCCCTCTCCGAGAATCGGGGTTGCGCTCTTTCAGATTCTCACTCTCAACACCTCGTCGCGAATATGAGTGAGATCGGTTATAAATGAGCAATGATGCGCGCAGAGAACTTCACCGTCGTTTCGATCGTGGTGAAGACTTCTTCAGAGAAGAAACTCTCCTGAGACTGAGAAACTCGAATTCAGGTGAGCTCGACTTCCCTTATTTCTCTTCCCCGATATTCCGTCCCCACGGCTGGTTTCCTCAAGAAGCGTTGATTGTGACAACCATC